TGCTTCCAGCATCCATGAAATTGTACGTCTTGCTGTAGTCAACAACTTCAGGCAGAAAGGAATTATTCAGTGCAAATTGTTGATTAAGTGGATGCTGACAAAAGCTGTCAATCAATGCTCCCAAACAAAATTCAATTCTGTTTTCTGTTGGTGACTTCGTAACAATTGATGACCAAGGCCTTCTGTGAATCACAAGAGTTTCATTGACTTTATAATCAAGAGCAGGTCACCAGCAAATGAATTGACAGTGTTAACCACTTCTCCTCAGGGAAAAGACTTCTCTGTCATTACCTCCAACACCACCCAAACAGGAAAACACTAACAAAAGCATTTTTCTTTAAAACCTAACTGCAAATTTAACAGATCATTCAGTGGAGAATTTTCATTTTTATTAATGAATGCTATTTTTAAAAACTGCCCATAATAAAAGATCTTTTTTGCAGCATTTATCAATAGCAGTTTAACTTGATTTATTAACTTGTCATGCTGGCAAAATTTCTGTAAAAATTTACAGAATGGGCAGATTTTGCATATAACATTTTTTTCCCCAGTTGATTAACGTAAGTAAATGTTTGTTTTATGTTGCAGATTGGAAAGCCACTTAGTCAAAAGTCTGCTGCTGTGACTGATTTCCCTGCTTGATTTTTATTTTGCTGCAGCTTATCCGAGACTGAAGTTTGCTAGTTTTGTGAGACACAATGTGTAGTCTAGGCATTACATTTAATTTACCGTGGTGTAACTGATGGTAGCACCCTCTGTGGGGTTGTAACAATAAAGTGCATGTGCAAACACATAAAATGTGATTATCAAGCTGTTCTGGGGTGTTCATTCCATGATGTACAGTAATAGGTGATTAGAAACTTTTGGCTCCTCCCAAAAATTTTGATAATGATTGAGTTGCTGATAATTGTTGGTTTGTTGGTTGTCACATTTTACTGCTACATCTAAACACTTCTGGTATGTTGATATGGTAAATAACCTCAGTTACGAGCATCAGAATTAAGAGAAGTAGACCATTTAGTCCCTCAGGCCTGCTCTACCATTCTGTAAAATCGTGGCTGATATGTTTGTGCTTTGAATTTCCAAATTCCAAGCTACCCCTGTTTGACGTCCGATTCCCTTGCCTAACAAGAATCAACCTTAAAAATATTAAATGATCCTCCCTCCACTGCCTTTTGAGGCAGTGTTCCAAACTAATAGATAACTTGCTTATTCCCTGTATCAATCCAGTACGCTTCTATTGAACCGTTGTCAATGCAATAGCATCCATCCTTAAGGAAGGAAACACAAACTACACACACTATACAGGATATGACCTCACCAGTACACTCTATAAATGAAGAATATGTGATGAAAGGTATGATTTATACATATTAATTTTTTTTTAGTTTGGATTTCAAACTAGTGGAATATGAGTGTTGGCTTTTTTTTTGAGCAGGGTTTTAAAAATTAACTCGACTGGTCTTTCCAAAACAATGGTTTTAAACCAGTTTAGCCCTCCAGGATCATTCTTGGAATTTTGTTTGTACAGTTGGATAGTATAGCTGGAAAAGAAAACAACATTAAGTCATTGGCTTAGCAGAAGTTGGATGAGCAAAACAAAATGTAGTTGAAAGCTTCTGAGTTCAGTTTGAAGAAGACCTGACAAAAATAAGATGCAAGAATAGTTTCTCCTAGGGAAAAAAGCCTTGGTTCAGAGTGGTTAAGGGAATAAATTAACTCGGTGCAAGGGTTTCAGCTTGCAAAAACTTCCAGAGCAGGACTGTTTGGTTAGAAATCTGCAACTGATTATTCAAAGCTGAGAGAATCAAAGATCTCAGTTGAGTGAGTCAAATAAAATGCCTTCACAGCACTGGAACTGAGGAGGAAGCAATTGAATCAAACCTACAGATATGATGGGGAAGGTAAATTTCTCTATACTTTGATTAACTGTAAAGTGATAGTGTTGGGGTGTGGTAGATGAATTTTGTTTTGCTACATGATTGAAATGTTTTAAATTGTTCAATGTAGAAAGCATGGTTTGGTTTGTTTTTTTTGTGTAATAGTCTTCTGTTCTTTCTGTTAAACCCAAATCTGCAACCTTGTGTGCAAATTTTTTAAATTTTTTTTTTAAATGATCTGGTTTAAAGTAAATAATATGGCTTACTTTTATTAAAATAAAGATATTATTGAAGAATAGTATTCCATTGGCCTTCATTACTTGCTGGATCCTTCTACACCTCAGCATTCTGCTGTCATTCTCTGTTTTAAATAATATTCTCCACTTTTCATTCTTTGTGCCAAAGCAAACAACTTCACATTGTGAAGTGTGATGCACCATCTGGATTTTTGGCTGTTCCTTAAAATTTAATGTATTTTTTCTAATCAACTGATTCAGAGTTGTTATTATACACCGTTGGAGGAAATTGGACTCAAAAATGGGCTTGAAAAGGGTTAGGGACATTAGCAGTGCACCACATTTTTGCCTACTTATTCTACCAATCTGTATACTTCCGCATTCTCCATTCGACTTCTTTGCAATATACTTTTCTGTCTGTCTTTGTGTCGTGTACACGTTTAGCTGTCGTGCCTTCTCTTCCCTTTCTAAGTCATTGATTTAAACCCTTAAAAAGCCGAGGCCCCAGCACAGACTCCTGTGGATCCCACTTGTCTTATCCTGACAATCAGAAGATGACCCATTTATGCTTTTTGCTAACCAGCCAGTCTTCTATTCTTCCTAATAGGTGATTGTCTCCTCGAATCAGGTCACAGAAAGTCTTGCTGATTTAAAAGTACTAACTAAGCCAGGAGGTGGAAGGGAAAATTGGTGAAATTACAGTTATTAGGGAAGTGGTGTTGAGTAAACAGATAGAGCTGTGTGCTGGCAAGTTTCCGGGTCCAGACAGACTTTGTTTCCAAGGTCTTAAAAGAGGTCGCTAATGAAGTAGGTGGGAACATTGTTTTTAATTTTCCCAAATTTGCTATGTTCTGGAAAAGTTCCATCAGATCAGAAAGTGGTGCATTTGATTCTGTCTACCTAGATTTTAGCAAGGATTTTTGTGCCATGTCAGACTGATCAGAAGGGTAAAACCAGTGGGATCCAAAAGATAGAGGCAAGTTGATCCAAAGTAAAAGTGGATCCAAAATTGACTCAGTGGCAGGAAGTAAAGGGTAATAATGAATGAGTTTTTGTGAGACTGTAAGGTTGTTTCCATTGAAATCCCATAGAATGCAGTACTAGATGCCTTGTTTTTCATGATATATTGTCAGTGATTTAGACTTTACTGAAGGGGACATGATTTAAAAGTTTGTAGATGCTCCAAAAATTGGCAGTGTAGTTGTTTGTAAGGGAAATAAAGCTATAGATCAGAGGAAGATGCAGCATCCTCATCAAAGAGAAGGCTAAGGGGAAACTTAATTGAGTGGACAAAATTAAGAGGGACATGGATGATGTAGATAGGAAGAAACATTTCCCCTTTAGAGAGATCAGTAGCCAAGGACATTGATTTAAGGTAGGGAACAGAAGGTTGAGAGAGAAATTCAGAAAGAATTTTTCATCCCCTGGGTGGTGGATATCTGGAACATACTGCCTGAAAGGGTGGTAGAAATAGGTACCATCAGAACATTTGAGCTGATCACTTGAAGCCCATAACATACAGAGCAATGGACAACATGCTGAAAAATGGGTCTAGAGTAGGTCTGTGCTTGATGACTGGTGTAGACACACATTTTCCCCAACTGTCGCTTGGGTGTGGACTTCTCTTCCCTAGAAAGCAGTGGAAGTTGGGTCATTGAATTTATTCAAAACGAGTTGGATAGAATTTTGATGGATAAGGCAGTCAGAGTTATATGCAGCAGACACAATCAGATTAAAACCACAACTGGATCTGTCATAATCTTATTGAATAGCCTGCTATTTAAGTTGCTGAGTCTCCAGGAATAAAAGATTATGTCTACAATCTGGAGAAAAATCATGGGATTTTTTTTTTAAATTGTCAAATATTTGAAATTCTCTCTTCAGCAGAAATAAAAAAAAATTAAAATTAGGTTGGAAGGGAGAGAGGTTGTTGGCTGTTTGACTGACAGTCAAGCATCAGGCAGTCGCATAATTACTTTTTTGTTTTGCTTTCCAATTGGCATAGGAAGGCAGTGCATCAAATGGATGGATGAGTTCTAATGGCTAGAAACTTCAATAGGTGGGGGCAGGAGCAAAACTTGATGAAACTGCCAAGAATAAATTTAATCAGTCTGCACCTCTTATCTACTCGTGCTCTTCTGTTCCTCTGCATATAATTTCTGAACTGTTTAGTTTTCAGGTACGCTGTCTCTTCTGCTGCTGTCTCCTCAGTGGAGCTTCCAAAGAGTCATCTAAGGATCAGTAAAAACTGGTCCAACATTCTGAAATGTTAAGGACCCGAAACATTAACTCTTCTCTCTTGACAGGTGCTACCAGACCTGCTGAGTTGTTCCCATAATTCTATTTTTGTTTGAATTAAAAACTAGATGTTTTCATGAAGGCTAACCATAATATGAACTGCAAGATAATTCCCCTTCATTCCATACTCATCCTCATGAAAGCAGCAGGAAGTCTAAGGTGAATCGTAGGGGAAGCAACGGCCTGGTGGTATTATCATTGGACTGTTAATCCAGAGACCCAAGTAATGTTCTGGGACCTGGGTTCGAATCCAGCCACAGCAGATGGTGGAATTTGAATTGCATAAAAATCTGGAATTAAGAGTATAAATGAATGCATTGTCAATTGTCAAAAAAAGAAACCCTATCTGGTTCACTAACATCTTTTAGGGAAAGAAATCTGCTGCCCTTACCTGGTCTGGCCTACATGTGACTCCAGACGTACAGCAAAGTCCTCTCAGCAATTAAGGTTGGGCAGTAAATGAAGATGACAACTTTATCCCGTGAATGAATTTTAAAATAATCTTATCCCATTATTGAACAAAGTAATAAGATGGAGAGAGGCAGAAACAGGTACTTTGGATACATAATAAAAGATACATACTTACACTGCACCTCAATATGCCTAAGAGGCCCTCTTGTTTCCAATCATTTTCTTCCTGTGTACTAGAAAATTTTAATTTTGAAATACGACACTTTCAGCCCTGTGTGTATGAAATAAAGGCAAACGTTTTGTCCTCTGCTACATATCGATAAGTGATATTTTCTCTGCTGGGAAAGCATTAGAAAAGTATTCAGCATGTTTAGATAATTAGGGACAGCACAGCATTTTTTTTACATGCTGCACTATCATGGTGGAGCCAGTTCAGTATTGAATTCTGATAAAGAATTACGAGAAAATTGCCAACACTGTTGCAGCATGCTCGTTTTAATAGCTGCAGATAAAACAGTTCCAGATATAGCTAAAATTGTAGTGTCATTGTATATCAGACTTTGACCAAATTGTATGATTCTCCTCCTTTTTCAGTTGGATAATGCTGACATAACAGATGCTGTTGGATTGAGGTGGTTGAGAAGAGGAATCCTGAATTTCATTTGCTTTATTTTCCAATCTGTTTCATGGCATGATCTATGTGGTAACCAATGACAGTCAACATGGTGATGCTGAACCCTAAGTCTCAACCCTACTCCCGACACTTGCATTTGGCAAAATAGCCCTTTGTTATCTTGTTGAACAGTACTTGGCCTGCTGTGTTCATCCAGCTCTACACCTTGTTATAACAAGGAATTGCATGCCTCTTCTTGTTTTGAATATTTTGACTATTTTTTGTTCTTCTTCCCCCTTTGTATTACATGCCTTCTGAATTTGGGCAGCACAGTGGATTAGCATTGCTGCATTTCAGTGCCAGGGAACCAGGTTTGATTCCAATCTAAGGTGACTATCTGTGTGGAGTTTGCACATCCTCCCTGAGTATGTGTGGGTTTTCTCTGGTTTCCTCCCACAGTCGAAGATGTGATAGGTGGATTGGCCATGCTAAATTATCCATTGTGTCCAGGGTTGTGCTCAGGAGGTCTGGCAGCAACTGTGAAGAAAAAATCAGAGTTAACATTTCTGGTCCGGTGACCCTTCCTAAGAGCCTGATTTACGGCATCTGCAGTTTTTAAAGTTTTTATTTAGTGTCCAGGGATATGCAGGCTAAATGGATTAGCCTTGGAAAATGTGGGGATTGGGGGTGTGCAGTCTGTGTGGGATGCTGTTCAGAGGGTCAGTGTGGACTTGATGGGCCAAATGGCCTGCTTCCACACTAGGGATTCTATGAACTAATATATTTGAAGTTAACGCCAGAGAACAACATATTTAACAATTCTTACTCAACTATAAAGTGGCAATATTAACAAAAATACAAGGTCCCTTTATTGATGTCCTTTATACAGCTTGGCTAGTAATATCTGATCAAACATGTGAAAGCGTTTCTGTTGATGTCGTGTTCTCTTTCTGAATCTCACGTTGTGACTCCAACGCTGAAGTTACTGGTGCGCTTTGGTTTGTTTATTTTGGAGAATCTTTTTAGACACAACACTAGTTGATAAATATATTTGTGCTAACTGTTTACAATAGCTATTTCCCTTTACTTGTTTACGAGATTAACGTTTGTCTGCAAAATTGACTTCATTGAAGCTGTTGTTTGCTTACCAAACCTTAAAATTCCAGCAGAGGGCGCTCCAAGGTTGACGGTAGATGGAGTTCCAGAATATACATTTTACATTTTTTAAGTTAATTTTCTTTAAATTTCATCAAGAGATCAACTGGTTTTTAATAGTGTGCATTTTCCCTCACTTCTTTAGTGAAGTATACATGAGGTCTTAATTCATTTTTTTTTATAATACTGATGTAACTTGCAAAATATTCATTCCATAAAACAGTGGATCTAACTAGAATTAGATCGAGAGAGAAAGAAAGAGATAAAGGAAAAGTGGAAAATAATTCAGAAATTTTACTCACTTCCCTTAAGAGCATGAGGCAGAACAGCTTAAGTTGTCCCTTGCAAACTATCCTGTCCTATCTCCCAGCTGTCTTTCTGCTCAAATCTCTACAATGTATTATTCTCTCAAATTGTGGCCATCTTTCATGGAGCTCTATTTGAATTCCTGTAGTCAGGTTTCTTCTCCTGCCATAGTGCCAAAGCTAATCTCATCCTATGGGGTTTGTCAGCAATAAATTCCTCTCTCCTCTTGTCCTTCTCAACTCTTTCACAGCCTTTGGCAGAGTTGACCACCCCACCCACCTCATGCCTCTCCATAGCCATCCTGCTGGCTCGGACTGTACTTAGCTGGTTCTATTTTGTTTGATTCTTTCTTACGAGATGACCACCTGTTCTCTTTCCTGCATCTTAGCCTTGGTGTTCTCCAAGGATCTATCCCTGACCCTTTCCTATTTTTCCCTTACCTGTTGGCTACATCATTGCAAAACACATCATCGGTTCCCTCTGAATGCTGATGTCACACACAGCCCAACTTCTTGACCAACCATTTGGCCCCTCCACTGTCTCCATGTAACCAGATTGCTTATTTGATGTCCTGAAGGTTGCCTCTGACTAAATATTCGGAATACTGAAGCAATTGTCTTTGGTCCCTACACCAAACCTCTTCCCTCACTGCTGACCCTCTCCCTGGCAATTGGCTGAGGCTGAATCAAACTAGTAACAAACTCACGGCTATATTTGAACCAGAGATGATCTTTGGACCACATATTCATGAAATCGTTAAGAGCTCCAATCTCCACTTTCAAAATATCTCCTGAATCTCATTTATCAGAATACTGCCAAGTATGGAAAGTTTGAGTTACATAGAAAAGCTGGATAAACTGGGACTTTTTTCGCTGGAGCATAGGACATTGAGAGATGTCCTCCTAGAAGTTTGTAAAATAATGAGGGATATAGATAGAGTTAATGGCAGGTGTCTTTTTCCCAGGATGGGGGATTTCAAGGCTAGGAGGCACATTTTAAGGTGAGAAGAGAGAGATTTTAAAAAAGACATGAGGGGCAAATTTTTTACACAGGGTGATTTGCATGTGGAATGAACTTTCTGAGGAAGTGTTGGATGTGGGTACAATGACAACGTTTAAAAGACATTTGGATAAATATATGAATAGGAAAGGTTTGGAGGGATGTGAGCAAGGAGCAGGCAGGTGAGACTAGTTTTGTTTGGGATTATGTTCATCATGGACTGGTTGGACTGAAAGGTCTGGGTTGATGCTATATGAGTCTATGACAGCTTCAGCTCATTTGCTAAACACTAATTTCATGCCTTTGTAACTTCTAAACTTAATTATTCTCAAGCAGTCCTAGCCAAAACTCTCAACTTCCATCAAGCATAAACATGAGGTCATCAAAAACTCTGCTACCCTTGTCCCAGCTGTTATCCAAAGCTGTTCATCCGACTTCCCTACATATGATCCCTGTTGACCAATTTCTCAGTTTTAAAATTCTAAACGTTGTTTTCCAATCTCTCCATGGCCTTGTCCTTCCCCATCTCTGTAATGTCATCCAACCATGTATCCATCCAAGTTACCTGTATTCTCCAATTTTGATCCCTTTAGCAACCCTAATTCAGTTGCTGCATCATTGGTAGACATGCCTTCAGCCATCAAATTGTAGGCTTTGATGTTTCCTCCTACTTCTCTGCCTCTTTCTTCTAATTTTAAAACTCCGTTTAGAATCTTATCCACTTGACCACGTTTTTGGTCATCTGCCCTAATATCTCTTTCTGTATTTTGGTGTCAGATAATGCTCAATAAGTCTCCTGTGAAATGTTTTTAGATGTTTTCCAATGTTAAAGACACTGCATAAATGCAAGTTGCTTATCCATTTCTGGATTGAAGTGGTCGATTTAACATGCATTAATAATTAGTATTTTATTAAATAGGTGCCTGCGCTGTCAATACAAACCCATACATTTTGTAGAACATTCCAAGTTTAATGTGCAAACCAAGCAGATTCTTAAAAATAATGAGAGATAGTAGGAACTGCAGATGCTGGAGAATCCGAGACAACAAGGTGCAGGGCTGGATGAACACAGCAGGCCAAGCAGCATCATAGGAGCAGAGAGGCTGACGTTTCGGGCCTAGACCCTTCATCAGAAAAGGGGGAGGGGAAGGGGGTTTTTGAAATAAATAGGGAGAGAGTGGGAGGCGGATAGAAGAGGGATAGAGGAGAGGATAGGTGGAGAGGAAACAAACAGGTCGAAGAGGCGGGGATGGGGCCAGGAAAGGTGAGTG